TCAGCATGGCTGGCTTCGACGTGGGGCGTCAGAGTCGATCAACCCAAGCCAGAGAGGCGCAGGGTGGGCGTGCTCAAAGGTATGGGGTGAAGGTGATATGGTGCTCAAAGCCAAAAGAAGCTCCATCAGCTACGTATACTGTAGCTTTCCAGCCAGCGCGCCAAGAGCCGCCGCCTCGTTAGCCAGCTTGGCATCGCAACCACCAAGAATGACGATTTGCGCTTCTGTGGCACAACACTCTGACTCGTGACTCATTCGCGACTCACACTCGTGACTGCTGCTGTACATGTCCCAACGCAAGTCGTGAGTCTCATCATGTAGGTATCCGCGGCAGCATCCGCGCGTACCGGCGGTGACTCGTATGCAACGCGGCGCACCGTCTCACTGTGCAAGCACTGGATGGATCAGCTGCTGGGCGCTGCTCTGCGCGCCGAGATGACGCATATGCTTATATGCAGCTGCATGATAGCATAGGTGCATTTCATACCCACACCTGCCTGCTGCATAGCATCACGGCGAGGCCGGCTGAGCGGAGCCACTCACGACTGCGTGCGCGCAGGCTCTTGTGATTTTCCCTCATTTCCACCACCTCCTCAATCACCAGCGTCTCATCTCGAGGCGTACGCCTATCGAACTGTTCAATCGCAATCTGAACTCGACATATCAGCCACGCATCCCTGGCTATGATCGAGTGCACCAAGATGAAGGGTGCTCTGGACGCTGCCATCGATGGCATTTCCAGGGTAAGTGACGCTCAATCAGGCATTCGATCGACAAGTCTGACCCGCGTGTATGCTTTGTCTCCTCAGGCCACTCCTCTGCTCATGGCTGCGTTCGTGCTGCTAGCCATTCCACAATCAGCCCGCTACATGGTCAACCTCAAGAGGGCTTTGCACGCTTACGATGACCAGGTTCCAGCTAAATCTGGTTGGACCTTCAAGAAGCTTCAACCCCACATTTTGATCCGCGTTTTCGCAGCTTTCTTGGCTCTCGCACCCTTGGCTATGGAGGTTTTCCTCTTTATTACTCCTACACTCGACGCCAAGGCTCATCCAATCGTTCAGCAGGCCCGACTCACTATTCCACCCTTGTTCCTCGCCCTATCCTTCTGGCTCACCATGTTCTCGGTGAGTGCAATCGGTGCTTTACATTTGACGTTAAGCGCCCCGCTCGCTTGCTGAACGCAAAGTCACTCTTCGGCAACATCCTCGACAGTCTTGCTATAGAGTTGCGGTACGCAAGGGGTATCTGCGTCGAGCCGTCGGTCGATCTCTGCACAGCGACGAGCGTCAAGCAGGTGGAGCTTGCACCGCCGACCTCCTCACTCGCGAACCCAAGTGGCATGCGCGTCGCTTCCTTCTCTGGGCTAGCATTGCTCTCGTGTACGCTTGGATCTACACTCGAATGGTCTATCAAGATGCTCTCGATGGACGCCTTACCATGCTTCTCGTCGGCTTGAATGCTTCGACAGTGGCTCTCAACGGGCTCCGTGGACCTCTGGTCTTGCGCCAGCACTCGTCGTTCAGGGGCATGATCATTGTCACGTGGGATATTTGGCTGTTTGCTTCTTGCCTGGAATCATTGCTGCCATGGTGGATTCCTACAGCGAAACGA